CTTCTATGGATGTGATGTAATGAAAGGTTTGGGAGGGGAGAAGGGTAGCTTGATCGGTGAAGGTGAGAATTTCGGGATCGAGGTCAGAGTAAGGGGCTGGGATCTGTGGATCGAGAGTCTCATAAGGTGAAATAGGTAAGGGTGGTGGTGGTGAATATGAGACCTCGAGTGGAGGAGAAAATAAAGAGAGGAAAGAGGGTACCGTGAGTGTCTCTGTCGGAGCGTTCGGCGTCGGAGGGTGAGTAATACAGGGTTGGGCCGCGGGCCGAAGTTCTTGAGCGGTACGAGTTCTGGTTCGGATAACAGTTCGGCGCGACCTTACGAAACGTATCACGCTACGGCGTGGAGATGGAGAAGCGGTGGACCCGTTAGAGCGCACTGCAATATCATTTTGTAGGTAAGCGAAAAATTATTACTCAGTTACCGAACAACTGAAAAAAAAAAGGAAAACTGAACGCGAAAACCGAGAACGACTACGACTACTTTAAATACAGTGAGGAGGAAGAGAAAAGAAAGAACAATAAAAAAAGAGGAAAGAAAAGAAACAAGGTGTATTGACTTACTGGTCGGTGAAGTCTGCTGAGTCTGGTGACGAGGCTTCGGAAACCTTGTGGTCGGCTATGTAGTGGAGACCTCGGGGCTTCGAGTCACTGACTCTAATACTTATTTCAATTAATAATAATGGAGTTACCCGAGACTCGGACTCGATCTGTTTTATATGAGCTGGATAGCTTCTCTCGACCAACCTTGAGAACTGTACTGTGAAACTCTCAGCAAGAAGACGGTAACAAAGACAAAAGAAGACTAAAAAGCCGAGAGCCAAAAAGACAAGACTAAAAAAGACCGTTCAGGACCGCGGAACCGTGGTTTATATAGCGGTTTTTCCTAATTAGTGGGGTTCAAATTTAGGTGGTGGGATGACTTTCGGGATTTTAGATTGGTCGAGATTATGGGGGAGGAAAGAAGTCGGTTGGTATCAACAACTGTCGTCTTAGTTTATGACTCCTAAATTTATGGGAAAATGCATGTGCACCGATGACGAGCGTACGTGCACTGTCGGCACGCGCCCGTCAAACACTTTTCCTGGACTTCGCATGTCACATTTATATTTTATGGTCGCGGACATCGTGAGAATCGTCCGCGACTTACTTGTCAAAACAAAAAAAAATGTTTAGGCGCCAGTACTGACATTAATTGCCGTTTTTAATGGTGCTGTCCAAGGGAAGTGTCATCGGCGGTGCATTAGCTCCCTGCGTTCACCGATTCTAACTTTATTTTGTTTAGCATTAATGGAGACACTAGAGTCTTTTATTTTAAACTTTCTCATGGGAAAAGATTTTTATTACTTTTCCTAGAAGTCTTAGGGGGTTGATAACCTCTAGGTCTCCGTGAGAAAGAGAAAAGAGGCAGCGTGAGTCAGCTGGACGTAACAATACATTCAGAAGCATATATCAATAGAAAGGGCTATCATTCAATACAATTACAAGTAAGATTTAACGACGTATATATGAATATTTAGATTTATTATAGGGAATTATACATTTTTAATAATGCAGCACATAAAAGTTTCTAACTTAGGATTGAGAGAGATAGTTCTAGAATATATTCTAATTTCAGATTATCTGTGACTCTGATTTGAAGTTTATACATTGTTATACTGGACAAGTTGGATCTGTACATGACGCTAGAGTTTTCAGATTATCAGGAATGTATAATTTTCTTAACGATAATTATTTTTATGAAAATAGTCACATATTAGGTGATGCAGCATATGTTATTGATCCTCATGTTATGTTCCTTTTAAAGACAATGGAAATTTAACTGAATCTCAAATAAATTATAATACATGCCATTCAAGAGTCCGAATAATGATAGAAAGAGCAATAGGTTTGTTTAAAGCTAGATTCCGTAGTCTATTAGACAGATTACCTATGACAAGAACTGATTTAATACCAAAGTACATTATTGCGTCCTGCATTTTACACAACATTTGTATACTGCAGAATGATTTAATTGAAATTCCTATTATTGTTAATGAACCACACATATCCCATATAATGATGTTAACAATATAGAAAGAAAAAATCAAGGAATACAAAAACGAAACACAATTATGTATCAATTGATGAATGGAAATATATAAGTTTTTATAAAAAATAAAACATGATATATCTTTGAAAAATAAGAACTGTTTTTATTTCCCAACAATTATAACTTTAATTGTAAGTCAACTAAAAATAAATACATTTTCATATCATATATGAAAAATAAGGAACTTTCATTAAACAAAAATAAATATCTCTGTAAGTTTCTTCCACAACAATACTTTCTTTCATAAACTAAAAATTCTTTTAATTAAAAAGTTTAACATATATTTGGTTTTACACTAAAAAGTTTTACACATCTTTTTTTGTAATATTAATTTTTCTTATTAAATATCTTTTCCAAAAAATTTTCCATGTTGTGTAGAACTTGCATTTTTTCATTATGTCTTTTCTCCGCTGCCTCTCGTTTAAACTTTTTTTCCTCTAAACATTTATCAGCATATTCTTCAAAAATGTGATTAATCCTTCTTTTTGATTCTACAAAAAACAATAATATATAAAAATAAACAATTAGGAAAATATAAATTGTTACAATTACATAAAACAATATTAAATAAAGTATCTTATAAGTAATGAATTACACAATTAGAAAATAAAGGGAGTGGTGCACTTGCACACTGTAGCAATTACCCACTGCCAGTCATACCTACTTCTGCGTAGGGAGTTTCTTTTTATTTTTTTTTTCTAGCCCTGTGATTGGCTTGTGCGTAACTAACTCGTGTCCAATTGATATACATCCAGAAATAAATACAGTAAACAATCAAGATGGATTTTTACATAAATATTATACAAAAAGCAATTAATAAAAATTTATATACTTTTTTCTTTTGTTTCATTTTCTTTCTCAGCTTCTGTTTTTTTTTATTTCAACATTTGAGCCAGCTTCAGCTAATGGCTCGACCCAAGGTTTAGTTCCAAACATTTCATCCATAACCTGTAAAAAAGAATTTATACAAGAGTAGTAAAAATTAAAAAATACATCCATTTGAAAATGATAGATATAACTGTGCGTGATATGTCTATCAGAGGAAAATGCTTACATCATAATATTCC